ATATGTGCTAGTCGTTCCCAACATTAGGGGGGGGTGGTCATCTCCGTTTCAAAGCTGAAGAGCCAGCGCTGTCTGAAGATGTTTCCGTGGTCATGTGGCTGGGAAGACTAAATGCTGAAGGCGCACAGAACACTGTTACCTTCCCACCAAACGTGCTCCCTATTTTTCTACTTGCATTTTTTATGTGCTTTCAAACTGCTAGGTTGGCAGAAGCTGGGACAAGTAACGGGAGCTCACTCCATTATGCGACACTAGGGATTCAAACCACGGAACTGCCGACCTTTCTGATCGACAAGTTCAGCTTCTTAGCCACTGAGCCACCACATCCCTTATTTCCATTGTAGACCCTAATAAGTAAGTTCATCCTCCCTATTTCTAACAGATAGACTGAGCATCTCCTTCTGCAAGAGCCTTCTGCTTCATCAAACCAAGTGAGGCACCTTAGCAAGGCAAAATATCTCAATGAGATAAATTAATTTAATATCCATAAGTTTCATCATTAAGAATTTGTCTGGGCAATCCAAGTTGTCGACTGATATTTTCCACTGCAGAATTCACCTTCAAGTGGGCATGCCCAGCCACAATCTCCCCTGATCATGGGTGGCCGGATTCCTCATCAGAGGAAGACTTGAAGAATTTGATTTACACAAAAGGTTTACAGTTTACGTCTAGACCTAAAGTGCTATAAAAATTAATATGCCATAACTTCTAATTTCTAGTTCCACGGATTTCATAAGAAATCCGTGCTGCTGAATTACTGTGAATCCAAACTTACTTTCTGAAAACAGTCACCTCTGTTGCCATAACTCTGTTCCAAGGAAAGAATCATGATTTCATCCTTGCAGAAAGGTCTCCATTGCAATCGTGGTAAACAGTTTCATGACAAAAATCAGCCATCAAGGCTAATACCCCGAATCAATGTCTTGCAAAAGAAAAATGATCTGGGGGTTTCTTGAGCAAAGGGAAAAGGGAAAAAACCTGATTTTTTTTGCAGATAGTCAGATACTGGACTTGTTTTTATTCTGAAATATGACAGCACCTTACAAGCACTAGGACCATATCACCTGCATGTGGGAGTTATCATCTTGCAGTGGGATTCACTGACAATCTTTGTAAGAAGATAGGCTTTCCAGTCTCCTAATTGCAGGTTCAGAAGGAAATGAACACTTCCCTCACAGCACAAAACAATTCTGCTATTTACAAAGGATAGATTATTGAGGAGTAATAGGAAATGAGTGCCATTTCCTGGCAATTCGGAAATACAGGTCGTCCTCAGCTTATGATCATAGAGGGCTGAATTTCCATTACTAAGCAAGGTTTAGTTTAGTTTAGTTTATTAGTTTTGTATGCCACCCACTCCCGAAGGACTCCGGGCGGCTTACAATAAAAAGGGAAAGGGGATAAATAAGACAATACAACAATTTAAAATACAACAGCATTCATAGTTACAGTGGGGCNTGTCTGAAACGGTATAGGGTTTCCTGCCTAGGCAGGGGGTTGGACTAGAAGACCTCCAAGGTCCCTTCCAACTCTGCTATTGTATTGTATTGTATTGTATTGTATTGTATTGTATTGTATTGTATTGTATTGTATTGTATTGTATTGTATTGTATTGTAAAGAGGTTGAAATGAATGGAGAAAATTTAAGAAATTCCAACAGCAGTAGATGGCATGTAGTCTGTTAGCAAGAAACAAATATTTGTTGAAAGAATGAAAAAAAAAGCTATGTATAAGATAGTTGCGTGGAAGCATGAAGCAGAATATAAAAGTAAGTTGAATCTAGTAGGAATATGGTACTTACATAGAGTTATCCTACGGTAGGTCAAGAAGAAATAGAGTCAAGAATGAATGGGTGCCGAATAAATATGGATCAAATATAAAACTTAGTGGCCAGTATGAAAAAAGAAGTACTTTGTGGTAGTCTAATCCTGTATTGAATCACAAAAGATATAATAGTGAATATAATAGTGAGAGGGATAAGAAAATTGTGAAAATTGTAGCTGGCTGGAACTAATGAAATTCTCAAAGTGAGAGAGAGGTAAAAAGTTGAAAGAACAAGTAACATATGGACATGGAATAAGCAATGATAGTTTGCAAGGATACAAAACTATAGAGAAATACAGTGAATGATTATATGTGAATGTAAATCAAATTAATTATATTGCTTTTTCTTTTTTATTATTACGGGTCTTTAATTTACTTGGCTTCCTATTTCTTATAACTTTTCTCTGCTTTATATAATATTGATGAGTAGCTTCTATTGGTATATTGTATTAAGAGACTAAAGACAACAGAGCTCTAAGATTGTTGCATTGGTACAGAAAGAACACTGAAATAGCATCAAGATCATGGCAATTTGATTTTTTTTCAGTCAGCAAAAGAAAATGACCATTAGGGGTATTCAGGGATTTTAAGAGGGTGTGTGGCCCATCTTTACTCTCTGATCCCTAAGGGCTGCAGACTATATTCTCTCTATGCATCCAGAAGGCACCTGATCCACAAAAGACTAATGTACAGAATTCCCTTCCAATCCAATTCTATTTTGGCTTCAAATTGTCTCCTCCATTGTCTCTCTCTCTGGCACAATTTATTTTCCAAAACCTGGGTGATGTTATCATTATATTGGTGAAAGATAAATCTGATAGAAACGAAAATTAAACTGTGCAGAAAAAATATGGCTTCTGCGTACCACTATTGATGAGTATACGGATATATGAGAACTATGGTGGTGCAGTGGTTAGAATGCAGTATTGCAGGCTAATTCTGCTGACTGTCGGCAGTTCGATCTCTACTTGTTCAAGGTTGACTCAGTCTTCCATTCTTCCAAGGTCAGTAAAATGAAACCCAGATTGTTTGGGGCAATAGGCTGATTCTGTAAACTGTTTAGAGAGTGCTGTAAAGCACTGTGAAGTAGTATGTAAGCCTTAAATGCTATTGCTATATTATTGCCCTTTTGCTGGGGTGCTTTGTCTAGGGGAAAAAAGGGCATAAAAATTATAAGTCTTTTAACTTCTACTGATGAGGCAGACAGAAGCAGAATTGTCCCCAGATAACCTGTCAAAATGAATCCCAAGAGTTGGGCTGAATTGGGCTTCTAGTGATTGAAATGATGGTTTTTTTTTTCTTCTGCAGGAATATTAACAGGCCGATGTGTCAATTTCAATGCTACTTTTCGGACCTGTCAGATCCAGGGCTGGTGCCCATCAGAAATGGACAATGTGGATGTGTAAGCACTTACCTATAGCGGTCTATGTTATTTCACAGGAAGGGAACATAGGCATACTGTAGTTGGGAACATAGTTCCAGAATGTAAAATTAGTTGACGAAATCTAGAGTTCCTTTTGGAAGGGTTGATTTATAGGTTTTATTAGCTTTTTTTTTTAAGGGACTTGGGTGGTAATGGCCTATGCACATGGAAAGCTATGGATGGGACATTAGCATTGTTATCTATCACTAAGGGGATGTTTTTACTTTTGTTGTGAGCCGCCCAGAGTCCCAAGGGAGTTGGTGGCATACAAATCTTATTAAAAGTTGAAAGTTGATGTTATTGATATGTGACTGGACAAATTGTGGAATGCAATAACTAGTTGTAAAAATTATATAGAGTTAATCATGTGTCAATACTTTTTGGTCAAAAATGATGATTTTGCTTGAAGATTTTTTTTTTAATTTTGAAGAGTCAACTGTATCTGTGTTGAGTTTTATGTAGGCCATCACACAGACAACAGATCCTTATTCAATACATCAGGTTCTCTTCTGAAGAAAACTAAAGGTTTGAAACAGGAATCAAGTTCAGTATTGCCAAAGGTCCTCCCTCCTATTCTGTTGTTGGATTTGTATGCCTGTTTATTGTCCCTCTTACTTGTCAGTAAGGACCATGGACCTCTACAATGACATCTCGGTCATTGATTGATGCTAAGTTAGCATCACAAATGATTGATGCTAAGTTAGAAGAAGACAGGACAATATAAGTTCAGAAAGTGGGGAAGTTCAAAGATCTGAAATGAGAGTCTTGGTAAAGAGGGAGGGGAATTCCCTCTCCAAAAGGAGTATTAACTCTTTGCTTTCAATCCACATATTTTACCAAAAAGAGAAATTAAGATTTTCCTGTTTATGGTTCTCCAGTTTGATACAGATTTCCAGAGGTTGGCAAATGATTCTTTAATTGTTTTTCTTCCTTTCTTTAATTCACTCCTGATTTCAATTTGATTTCAGTGGGTATTTTTCTTTCTGCAGACCTGTAATGCTAGAAGCTGAAAACTTCACTCTCTTCATTAAGAATAGTATTCGCTTTCCACTGTTTGATTTTGAAAAGTGAGTAAGGTAACATCAACCCAGACCAAGGTTGCACGTTGGAACTTACTTCTCAATACATATTAGGTGGACTTGAATTGAGAATTACTTCCCTAATGCAGAGATTTTGCCTGATCAATACCACCTGGCCTTGTGAATTTCAGGAGGTCCCTTGATAAAGAAACATGGATAGAGACTGACTTCCACAAGTCCCTCGGACCATAAAATCAGTAAACATACCTATCAGTTGTTGGATAATGGGCATGTGTGTATATGGTTATGTGTCTTTGTGTAAAAAGACAGAAAGCAACCACAAATTCACTCTGATGTGGAATCCTAATTGTTTACACCAGTCTTTTTTGACCTGCTTCTCCCCCAAATGAGGTGACCTACTCTTCCAATACTTCTCACCAACATGTTACTTATAAGTGAACCAGAAAACAAGTTTATGCATTCTTCTAGCAAATATAAGGCAGCTGCTGGTACTTTTTAATAGCTGTAGCTCTTAACTTTTGCATTATCTCTAATTGAGTCTAGATAAGGAGGTGGCCTTGAAAACACCATAACATAAAATGCATTGTGCCAAGTTCAGAATTGTCATTCTCGACCCTACCCTCTGGCCACAACCACTTCTTTGGAGATGGATGGTTTGCTCTTGGGATAGTTTTCTTTGCTTCTTTCACAGGGGAAACCTGCTACCCAACATCACAGCAGAAGATATCCAGAAATGCCACTTCCATCCTTTAAAGCAACCCTTCTGTCCAATCCTGCGCCTTGGGGACATTGTAAAATTTGCAGGGCAAAACTTTACATCGCTGGCAAAGACGGTGAGAATGCCAGTTGCACAGTGATCATACTGGACCAGCAAGCAACATTTGGGTTTTATTTATTTGCCTGGAAATTTGTTTTCAAATCCCCTGTTAGCTATAGAGATTGCTTGGGGTTCTTGAAAAGTCATTGCCAGGCTAAAATGACAGGATGGTTGAAATTCTAAAATACTAGTCTCTAATCTCTATGGTAATTTAGTAGTATAAATGCAATTATCACTGATATAAATAGTGAAATAGGAGAGCCATGTACCAAAATGAGACCAAGAGAATAGCATTGCAATTAGAGATGGCAGATAAAACAGGATTATATGGGAAGCCATAGATAATTTTTTTAATATACAGAAGTGTATGTTGCCTTAATTGGTGTGAAATAATTACCCCCCATTCTTAACCAGTTATTAGTAAGAAGCATAACCCCACATCTTAGAGGAAATGTCCCTTTTTCTATTTGCCACTGACCTGGATTGTTTGATCAAACGGTCAGTGGATTAGAAAGTGATTAATGAGTAAATTGTACCTTTCGAAGCAGCTCTGATTTTTTTTTCTTTGGCTTAATTGCTAGGATCTCCTGAGATTTCTCCTAAAGCTGTGCTTTTCTATGCAGGGTGGGATAATAGGGATCAAGATTGGATGGGTGTGTGATCTGGATCATTCTTGGGAGCACTGCATTCCCAGTTATTCTTTCAGCCGGCTCGACAGCGTCTCCGAAAAGAGCAAAGTTTCTAGTGGCTACAATTTCAGGCAAGTCCTGTAGAGAAGCAATAGACAGAAATCCTCCCTTTCCAGTATTGATGAACTAAGATTTCTCTCTGCCGTTGAAGTAGCTTTTGATTTACAAATATACGAGCCTTCAGATCCCATCTACCGAGTAGTTTTTCTTCTGTGTAGATACCCCAGAGACATTTCTTACAAGGAGGCCATTTTTCACAATAGGCAAAACATAAAATAAGCTGCACAACATAAAAAGACCTCAGTCTTCTATCCAGAAACAGGGAATGTATGGGAGAGTGGCTTGTTTAGGCCTGGACCATTTGCTTTTCCCATTCAATCTTGGGACATTTCTAGGGGGGGGGGGGAACACCCTTGTAGGGAAATTTTTCCAGCTTGAAGGTCCGAAGGATCTCTGATAAGCAGAATGTTCCTGGACTTATGGACTAATGGGTTGATTTAGTGTACTTTGGGCCTAGGAGCTTTTCATTAATTCCTTTCTGATATACTGGTGGTTTCCTTGCAGCACTCTAAGATATTCAGGTATCCAGTCAGCCCAGGGGTGGGGTTCAAAAGTTTTAGCAAGGGGTTCTCTGCCCGGTTGCTGCGTGGGTGTGGCCTAGTCGGCCTCCTGCACCATGGTAGAGGGTCATTTTTGCCCTTCCCGGGCTCCAGAGGCTTTCCTTGAGCCTCTGGAAGGGCGAAAACAGCTTCTCCAGGCTCCGGAGGCTCTCTGGAGGCCAGAAACAGACCCGTTTCCAGACTTCCTGAACTTGTGGTAGGCCTGTTTTTCACCCTCCCCAAGTCTCAGTGTGCGCCCTGCACTTACCTGCATCCAAAACGGGCTGCGTGGGGCCTCCTGGAAGGGGAGGGGCATTATGGGCAGAGCCAGCCAGGAGTGGGATTTGGGGGTTCTCCAAACTGCACACAATCTTAGTTAGAGGTTCTCCCAAATCCCTGCGAACCCGCAGCAGCCCAGCCCTGAGTCAGCCCAATTGTCACAGAGCTAACATGACAGAAAGCTCCATTTTTCCTCCCCGATTATTATGCCAAAGCTAGATACGTGTACCTTCCCAAGCCATAGTCACTTGTAAAATTTCTTCATTGCCATTCTGTTGCATGGCAAATGTGCCCATGGTTGTTCTCAGAGTACCTAGGCCAGGTCTTTGTGTATATTTCTGTTTGTACGTACTGTATATACATGCACACACACACCCTTTTCCTCGCCCACAGATATGCTAAATATTACAAGCAAGAGAATGGCACAGAGTTTCGCACCCTGATGAAGGCATACGGCATTCGCTTTGATGTTCTAGTATATGGAAATGTAAGTGAGGCAGGTCAAACCTGCACATCTTGGAGCACGGGGCTGCTGAAATCTAGTGGGGGAGGAATTCAAACATAAAAGAGGGAATTAGGAAATATCTGGAGGCGGAAGAAGTCCTGGTTCTTTGGCTTTTGGAAAGGTGTTTGTTCTTGAGTGTCCTAGACTGCAAAGCGTTAGAACCATGTATGTGAAATGTAGAGCCACCCTCACTGGGCCTGCCTCCTTCATCATACATGACACATTAGTTGGTTCTGACCACCTCCTCCTCCTCCTCTTGGATGAGAAGTGAAATGCTTTCAAGAAAGTCCAGTTGCCTTTTAAACAGCATCTTTGGGACAACCATGACTTGGATGATTGAGAATGTCCATAGACATTCTCCCATCAAAGGTTTTCCACAAAGCACTATGTTCACTTTTAAGCCATGGAATATGGCAGAGCTTATTTTCACAGGTGCTATTTCCATTGTAAACGTAAAGGTAAACATTCCCTTCGCACATATGTGCTAGTCGTTCCCAACATTAGGGGGGGGTGGTCATCTCCGTTTCAAAGCTGAAGAGCCAGCGCTGTCTGAAGATGT